TATTAACTGGGCTTTTGTGTAGTTGTTTTGACTAAAGTTAATTGTGAAGGTGAGGTGACCTTTCTTGTCAGAATTTCAGATTTTGGGGGAGTGGTGGTTTCTGTTTGGGGATGTCTTGTTCCCCACCCCTCAAACATAGAAATTTTTGATGTAGATATTTGAGGCACAGTACAAGTTATGACTGGAGCTCCTCTGATGTAACAAATCCCAGCTTGATTTGATGGGCAGGGAAATGAGATTAACCTCAATGGGATTTAAAAATAAAAAAAGAACAGAGCATTCTGACATTCCCAGTTGTATGGGGTTTTTTTTTTCAGGCCTTGCTGCTTCAGACATGCTTGGTTATCCTCACAGTGCAGGCCTGTTACACGTAAGAGAGAAATAAAAGGTGTAGTTGTAGAAGGGACTGGTATGTGCTTAACATTTAAGCTGTTACAGTCACAGAACTAACATCTATTGACAAAACTTAGCACTCGATTTAAATCAAATTTAGTGGAATTCTGGGAATTTGTGCTCTTGTGCAATAGGATCGATGTACCACGTGGGGGCAATAAGGGATTGTCTGTGCCTGAGCTTTTACCTGTGGATGAAAAACACAGGAGACACAGTTGTCAGATTGTGCCTGCACTTTTGTTCCAGTGTCATGGCTTAGCAGCCGTTTCTCTTTGCAGTTTGTAGCTTGTCTACGCTCTTGATTTTTGTGCTGTGGCTTCAGAACTGCTGCTGGCTACAGACTGAACCTTCTGGGTAGGGAGGACGTGTTTGGACAAGTTCACTAATCAGAACGAGAGAAGCTGCCGAGCGAGTGAGTCTCTGTGCGCAGGTATGAACATATGCTGTGCTTAATTGACTTGTTCTAATTGCCACTTTCACCATGAGAGCCAAGTTAAAAATTCGGATACAATTCTGAAAGTCAAAGTAGGTGATTGCAAAAAGGGATTGCAGCCTCTCGGGTTTTTTTCCTGTTAGCAGACATTTTTCCTGTACACAAGTGACCAGGCGTGTTCTAAAGAATCGGTTAGTATTGAGAGTTTAATCCTAGGTCTCAGGCTGAGGCTAGTGGACTTTGCACTTATAAAGGCTAATATAAAGGCCAATATAATTGGTAGTTGCAATGTGTGTAGAAGGGCTCTTGAAAAATGCCCCAAAGGGGAGCAATCTGAGAAGCCCAAAGACTTCCTTCTCTGAGAAGTGCTAGAGAATGATTGTTGGGGGGCAGTAGTATTTAAGATTGGAAGTGGAAAATTCCCCCCACAGAGACTGCAAATATCTGTAGCATGGAAATCAGTTTCTCAAGTTGGTTTAGCAAGGTACTGTTAATGCTGAGTGCCTTTGCCATTCCATCTCTGCCAGTAGAAGGAGGTGCATTCTGCCCCTTTTTGAAGTTTCCGCATTCATTGCTGTGGAAGAACAGTAATTCTGTGCCTGCACATCAGTTTTAACACTCAGTAAGTGACCTGGAGTGAGAGAGTAATTCTGGAAAGTGGTATGTACAGGTATGGCTGTGTTGTTCATTCTTTGTGTTGATCATGTGGATTATATCTCCCACTATGCAGCAACTCCTGTTCACCTTGACTTGAGTCTTTTGCCATTTGCTAACGACAGTTGGAGATTGATCAAATTCTGTGATTTCACTCTTTTCATGTTTTTCTACCATCTGGGCCACTAGTGGGCTGTTGAGTACAGAACAACACCCCACTATAATCACTGAAATTGCCTTGGTTTTGCTATTTGGTGCTCTTTGTCACTCTTGGTAGAGAACTTGTTAATCAGTGATGAGACAGGTTGAGGAATGATTTATTGATCCATCTAGACTGATCTCTATGTGATGTGGAAGGCATTCCGAAAAATGGGTCAGTGAGACAAGACAACTAGTCTCTGTTTGGTTCTGCTGCACAGACTGAAAAGTACTTTGCTGAATTCTTCAGGGCTGAAACACTTCCAGACCAGGAATATGACCAGGGTAGTAACTAATTGTCATGGCAGTCTATCTAAGATGTGAACACCATTATGGAAATGTGAGTTTTTCCCTTGGTGGACCTCTGAGGTGTTCTGCAGCTGGTGATGTGACACCAGGTCCTCAAAAGTGATGGAAGAGTGATCATCCCGTGGAGAAAGCTCTCAGCCCTTGCAGTTAGGCCTAAGTGACACTGTGCTTAGGCTTGGGTTAAGCATGTCTAAAGCAAAGTGTTGAATACCTCCAGGTGGTAATGGATGGGAGAACTGTTGTACAAGGCACTGGCTTGAACCAAAGTAGGACAGCAACAGTGAACTGGGACAATCAAAGCTCTGTGAACTGCCCCAGAAGGGATTCTGGTGCTTTCAGTGACCTACCTGTAATGAAATCCATAACAATCCATCTTCCTAGACAGAAGGGGAGACATAATGTAAGCTTTTGAAACTGCTTGCCTTGCTATTATGAGATGGGGAGACCTCTGAGACACAGAGCTTTGTAGTGTGTATTTGGAAAGTATACGCTGACAAAATCAGCAATAGGTATAATTTTTCAGCCTGCAGAGTTGCTCTTTGCCATGGTGAAGGATCTGAACGATCTGAAAGGCTTCTGAAAGAAGCTTTTCCAAGTTTCTTGGTTGATAAGAAATCTGCTTTGAAGGACTTCCTCCATCCTCATCCAGAGGATGATTAAAGAAAGAGATGACATCATGGTGTAGTATAAGGGCAATTCTAATTGTCTCACTCAGGCCAAGAGGAGAATATGGTGTAGATTATCTGTTATACTAGTTCAGTGAGTGAGTTACAGCTTGTAATCAGTTTCTTCCTCACAGGGAGAAAGTTGTGCTTTGTTCTGACACTGCATCCTTCCAACAGCAACAGCTGGCTTTCATGTGTGATGACATTCTTCTTCTAGCTTTGTTCTCTAAACTTTTCCTCCTCCTGCTGTAAAGGCTTCAAACACTGTGTGGATGGTTGGAAAATTTGACTTCATGGGTGTTATGGAAACTCAGAGGTCTTTGTGGGTAACCATAAACAACATACTGCTGAGTCTGGGTATAGTAGGTCAGATAACCATCCACTCTCTCTTTCAGCTTTCAAAATTACCAAACATCACATCTCAAACATGTTTTTTATTAGAGTTGATGAGGATTTATTAAATGATTGAGTGTGTAGTACAGAGATTCAGCCTGACAAGGCACTTCCTATTTGTATTATGTTTGGTTGGGAGTAGGAATTGCAGAGGGTAGAGCTGTCACCTTCTAGACTGTAAAACTGGAGTCTTGTCACTTCTTGTCCCTTCCCCTGCCTGTGGTGGCAGGTGATGCCATATGTCTCTTTGCAGCCTGGTTCTAAGTGTGCAAGTAGAAGTGTGAAAGTGGGTGGTGACTCCTCTAATATATATATATATATACACACACACTGCATCCAGCTCTGGGGTCCCCAGCAGAGGAAGACACAGCTATGTTGGAGCAAATCCAGAGGAGGCCACCAGGATGATTAGAGGGATGGAACACCTCTGCTATAAGGAAGGGATGGGACAATTGGGATTGTTCAACCTGGAGAAGAGAAGGTTTTGGGGAGATCTAATTGTGGCCTTTCAGTACCTGAAGGGTACACAGGCCTGGAGCTGAGCGTTAAGACAGAGATGCTGGGGATGTGAACACTTAAACATGCTGAACCTTTGTGCAGCTTCTCCTTACTGGATTGTTTCAGCACAGTAAATTACTTGTGTTTTGGGTGAGGAATAAAGTCTGGACTGTAGAGTGAAGCATGAAGAGGAGCAGCAGGGAGTTGATGCTTCTAAAGCCTCTGCCGTATCTGTAATTATTGCTTCCTCTACCTTAGCATGGTCATATGTGGCTTTTAAAGTGATCGCATCGGATTTGTTCTCGGACTTAGCAGCAGCTGCTTTTTTGCACAAGAAAACTTTAGTGCTCTTTTTAGATGTTAAAGCAAGTGATTGAAATGAAGATGACTCTGAAGCACTTGAAAGGATGTGAAACTATATTAGCACTTAAGTTGCAAATAAACCTGCCTGCTCAGTTTCCATTGCCTATGGAAGAGCCAAGCAAATGGCAGGCAAATAGAACACTGAGAAAGCCGTATCAGTAATGAGAGCACTTCATTTGATTGAAATCACAATTGACGTCATGAATGGAGTAGTCTAAAATGCTGGCTATACTTTTACAACTTTCCTTTTTTTTTTTTTTATTTGTATCCATGAGATTCTTCAGCTCCGTTTCACTTTTTAAGGAAAACAAATCATGGGATATATTTTTTAAAACCTTGTGCCTTTTGTTCTTTTGAAGACGTGAGAATGCTGCTAGTCAGGAATAACTCATTAAATTTGTGAGCTGCCTTTTTCTACGGGTGAGCGCGGTGAAGCTGCTTCAGGTTGAAAGGGCTGTTCTGCACGATTTGTGTGTGTTTGTTCTTACAAAAGTCATCTGCTATGTTAACATGCCGATTTTCAAATCGTTGTGAAAATGTCGAGTTCTCAGAAAACAAGGTGGCTCCTCGAATTTCTCGTGCTCCTGCCCACCAACCAACCCCTGCCTGGACACCTCTGCGCTGGATTTTGGGCGCAGCGCACCCCTGCCTTCTGTAGCGCCGAGGCTCTCTCCCTACCCCCTCTTAAAACGCGCCTGTGAGAAACTCAACCAGACACGAGGGCCTAAAATACTCATTCAGAGCGGAACACGTTAAGATTTTTCGGCCTGAACCGAACCGTGGAGCTTGGTTACTGGCACACGGTGTCACCCCCGGGGGTGGCGTTTCCTTGTGCACATGCGATGCGCGGCGGGGCAGGAGGAGGGGGCGGTGCCTGTGGTGATCCATGCGCGGGGCCGACCCCACCCGGGGAGCGGTAACGGGACCCGGGGCAGCCTCGGGGGGCTCCGTTCGGGCCCCGAGGCTGCCCAGGTCCCGTTACCACCCAGGTGAACCGGCCCGCCCTCCGCCGGCCCCGCCCTCCCCGCCCCTGCCCTCGCCGCCCCGCCCTCCCCGCCAGCCCCACCCATTCCCCCGCCGGCCAATAGGAACGCGGGACGCGGGGGCGGGGCGGGGCCAGCGTGGGGCCGGTGCGGGCGGTGGCGGCGGCTCCGGCGGGACAGGCCCGGCTCGGAGGTGAGGAGAGAGCGGGGATCGGGATCGGGATGGGATCGGGATGGGATGGGATCGACCCGACCCCACAACCGGGGCCGTGGGGGAGAGCGGGCGCGGGGCGGGAGCTGAGAGAAAGCAGGAGCGGCGCCGCCGGCGAGCGGCGCCCCAGGCCGGTGTCTCGGCTCGGCCCGCCCCGCCCCGCCTGCGCGTCCGCCGCTTCCGCCGCTTCCAGGCCGGCGTGTGGCTTGCGGGGGGAGAGCCGTGAGACCCTCCCGTCGCGGCCGTGTGGAGGGACGGTGGTCGGAGGGGAGCGTGGGGTGCGGGTGGCGCGGAGACGTGTGTGCTGTCACAGCGGGCCGCTCGGAGCGTTCGTGCCTCTTCTCGGCCGTGGGTGGGTTTCCTGGTGCATCGGCGTAGTGATGCTGAGCGGTGGGTGTTGCTCGGCGAGAAAGCTGAAAGAGGAAAGTTTGCTTCTGGTGACTGAAAGGGACCTGATCTGAGAGTACTTCCTCGCTGCTCCGTGCGTGCTCCCGCCACGCTCAGGCAGTGGGGATCCCTTTGTATGGAAGGCAGGGATCACCCTGCTCACATTGGGCGGCGGGGAAACTGGCCTTACTTCAGACCTGCCTTCTGCACGGGGGAAGGAAGGACCCTGTCACTGACCAAAAGACGCTGTGCTCAGAGGACTTCCTTTGAAAGCCCTTGGTATCATCCCTGGAAGTGTCCAAGGCCACGTTGGATGGGGCTCAGAGCAACCTGATCTAGTGGAAGGTGTCCCTGCCCACGGCAGGGGGTTGGAACAAGATGGGCTTTAAGGTCCCTTCTAACCCCAACCGCTGTGTTTCTATGATCTTGCTTGTCCTCAGCTGTAAGCTGCCTTTCCAGATTTGCTGCTAGCTGAAAATGCTGTCTTGCTTGTCTTGAATAAAATAAGTTTATTCCATCCAAGTAGAAGATGAAGCTCATTGTGACTTAAAAGCTATTTCAAAAAGATGACAAAAAATAAAAAGTACAAAAAGTAAAAATATATACAGCTACCTAAATTTCGTAAGTTTTGGTTTATATGCTCCTTCACTTAGGGCTGAGAGCAAGAGGGAGCTGATATGGGTTTGGTGCCTGGTCCCTGTTTGTAGGAAATTATCAGGACAAGCACTAGGTGCAGACAAGTTCAGGGAGGGGCAATGAAGGCAGATTTTTATCTTAGAACCACTAATATTGTGGTAATGTTGCATTTTAGTTTCTCTGTGGTGAGGCTGTGTTGTGGCTTGCCCGGGGCAGGAGGCTCTCAGTGCTGTGGGACAGTCTGCTCTGCCTGTAAAACCTCTTGGTCCTCCTGGTGCCTGTAACATTTCTCAGGCTTCACTAGTTTATTTTCCTCCTCCTTTCATGTAGTCAGCCCCTTCAGCTGAAGTGTTTCTCAAACCATGGCACAACAGTTCTTGTCAGGAAATGTCATATGTAGTCAGAGTACATAAAACATGATAGGTAACTAATTGGTGGTAAAACTGGAAATAGTGCTTGGCTTGGTTAACATTCCTCACACGTTGGGTTTTGGAGGCAGTGGGAGCAAACAAGACTGTTTGGGGGTTGTTAATAGTTATGATGGCATCAGTAGGGTGCTCTGTCAGGGAATGGGATGTGGCATGGAGACATGCTCCCAGCTGCCACAGCAGGCAGGGCACTGCTCTTCTGGGGATCAAGCTTGCTTCTGCACATTGTGTTTTCTGCCTAGTGTTTGTTAGGCCTTTAAAATCTGAATATGTGCTGGCCAGGGTAAATATTTTTAGGAACGTGTCATCAGCAAGACACGAGGCCAAGCCCTTTTGAGTTCACTTTTCGTGTTACCACCTGTGGGGAAGGACTTTGACATCTGCAGTTTCTGCTTGAAACTTTGGTCTCTCCTGGCGGGTGACCAGAGCTAGTGAGAATACCCAGGAGCTCCTCATTAGTCGGGATTTGGGTGGCCTGCCTGCCTGCCTTGCCTTCAGGAAGCGGCTGGCTCCAGCTGGAGGGGAGGCTGCTGAAGGCTCTGCCACGGGGCCGCTCCGTGTTCTGCCTCGGCTGTCGCTGCTTGCATTTTTTCCCTTTTGAGTAACTGCAGTGTCTGTCCCTTCCAGGAGCTGTTTATTCAGGAGGGGATGAATGTGCTCACGGAGCACTAACTTTAGGAGCAGGTGGCTAATAAACAACCTTGTGGGGAGTGTGACCGATCCTGGGCAGCTCCAGTTGCTCATGGGCTCCTGAAAGGCAGCAGCAAAAACCTTACAGTGCAGTTACATGATAAGGGACACGGTGTCAGGAGGATACAGATGACACTGAGGTCTGGTTTCTCTTCAGATCAGCACTTTAGAGATGTAACCTGGGCACATCTCTCTGCTGAATTTTGCTGTTAGGGTGGTTTTAAAATTTCTGAGCTAAAAGTTTTTCTGCTTGGCTGTGTGGCCACACAAACCAAGAAATTCAGCAAAAGGATAACACAAAACACTTTGAGAAAGAAACTTTCTGCTTATTTGTCACCCAGAGCTGGTAAGCTGGACACTGGGCAGTGTGTGCCCACTTTTATGTTGAGATCATCCTTCATACTGGATTCAGTTTTGGACTCCTGAAGCATGGTCAGAGAAGGGAGCTGAGCTGGGGAAGGGTCTGGAGCACAGCTCTGATGAGGGAGCTGCAGGGCCTCAGCCTGGAAAAAAGGAGACTCAAGGGACCTTCTCACTCTACGACTCTGACAGGAGGGTGGAGCCAGATGGGGGTCGGGCTCTACTCCCAGGGCACAAGGGACAGGACAAAGGGAAACGGCCTCAAGTTGTGCCAGGGGAGGTTTAGATTGAGCGTTAGGGAAAATTGCTTCATTGAAAGGGTAGTGAGGCACTGCACAGGCTGCCCAGGGCAGTCTCTGGAAGTGTCATAAACATTTGTGGATAGGGCATCTGGGTACATGGTTTGCTGATGGTGTTGGCAGTGCTGCATTAATGGTTGGACCTGACATTTTTTTCCAGCCCTTCTGTGATTCTCATGCATGTAGGGTCAGCTGGGAGGTTGGAGACTCTCTCTGGTGGTCTCAGCTGCCCTGCTCAGGCAGCGCTCGCAGAGGCCAAACAAGTCTTGTGGTGGGTGTGATTAGGTAGGAGGCATCTGTCTGCCCTCCTAGGAGAAGTTTATCTGTACAGGGGTATGCAAGTATAAAAATAAAATCCCCCATAATGTTACTGGTCTGTAGGCTGAGAAGGCATTTGACCAGACTCTATATGTGTAAGGATTGAAACCTAAATCACTCCCTGCTAATTTGTAAGGACATGTAAGGCTGGCTCCATTCAAATCCTTGGAGCAGGCTGCCTACCTACTTGCAGCAGAGGGACAAAGGAATGTTTTCATGAGCTGCCTCTCTCCTTTTCAGACAAAACAATAACCTAACACTCCCTTGGATTTTCTGTGGTGGGCTCACCAAGTGAAGGCTGTTCCAGCTGCAGTACCCACATAATTTGGATTGTTCAGGCACACTGTGGTATTTGGGTAATGCACCCAAAAGCACCGAGAAGCCTCAGCCTTCCTGCTGAGCATCTTGCACCTTGCTGCCAAATACTCTGTGCCAGTGGTGAGCGTGGGGCTGGGGCTGTGGTGCATCCTGAGCCCACATGCCTCACTTTCCGTGTGGATCCTGCTGTGATCCCTGTGCAAATATCAGCACTGCTCCAGTGGCGTGGGAGAGCTGGGGAGAGCCATGTGGGACTTGTTCCCCATGTCAAATTAAACATTTGCTCTGCACAACTGCCACCAAACCATGACAGCAAGACTCATGGTGTAGGAGTCAGCCTAGCTGAACTAATGTTGGTCTCTGTAATTGCGATTTTTGCCCACTGATTTAATCTGGGCAGGTTTGCTAAAGAGGTGAGGAACTGTTATCTGCAGCCAGTGCCTGATGAAGGCTCTGAGCTGCCAGCAGTTTAAGGTTTTGTATGAGTCATCATTTTGGGGATGGAGAAAGTTAATTGTTCCTGTTATCTTGGGGTGTGGTCAGTGGGATGGTTGGGTACAGGTGAGAGGCACAGTTCTGCCTTACCCTTCGCTGCCTGTCTGCAGCGCTCATGCTGCTGGTGGTAGGGAGCCCAATCAGCAGGAAAACTCATCAGAAACTAGTGTGTCAGAAGGGTGCAGGGCAGAGGTTTGAGTATCCTATTTCCTAACCATGTTTCTGAATGGTTATTTTTTCTTGCTACTTTTTCTTCCCAGCGTCTGGATTTTAGTCATAATAGAATGGTTTGGGTTGGAAGGGACCCTTAAAGCTCATCTCATTCCACTCCCTGCTACGGGCAGGGATACCTTCCACTAGACCAGGTTACTCCAAACCCTGTCCAACCTGGCCTTAAACACTTCTGTCTTTGACCAGAGTTTCGTTAACCTTATTATTGGTTTTGCTAGAGGGACAAAGAGCCTTAAATAAGGATTTTGTGATAGCGCTTCAGTGGGTTGTATTTTCACACGGAATGTCTGTGAGAGATCTTTCAGGCTGTAACCATCTGTTTTCTTCCACATTTCTTTAGACTCTGCTCACCGTTGGAAGATGGGAGAGATAGAAGGAACATACAGAGTTCTGCAGACACCGGGCTCTCGTTTGGGTGCCCAGAAAACCGCAGGAGTGAGTACCTTGGAGCCAGGACAGAACCTCTCCTCTGCCATGGCATCATCGCCTGCCAAAGCGCACGAGCGTGACCTCCCCATCAAAATCAAGATGTTGGACAACACAGTGGAAGTACTTGACATTGAGGTAAGAGAGATTGAAACCTGATTTCGAGTACACTGAGCCTCCGATGGTGTAAAGCTCACAAGGATGTGGCTCTGTACGGAGCTGGGATGCTTCGAGGCGATATCTGAATAAAGATTCCTGTTGGGATTTTACCTGCTTACAAGTAGTGAAATTAGTTGCACGGCTTGTTTTTTAAGGTCTTTTAAGTTTAACAGATGTTTTGTGTTTTTAACAGACTTCAAACATAAGTGCACACTGTAAGGAGAGTCTTTCACTGTTGTTTGCTTTGGGGGAACACCAACTGTCTCCTGCCAAGCTGTTCTTGCTTCCTGAGCCACATGCAGCTTTGTCAGTTTGGCAGCTGGGAGAGCAGAAGAGCTTTGCCTTAGTTACTGATTTATATTAAGTATTCTAATGGTTTGTATCCTCTTCAAGCAAACTTGCTCATCTTTGAAAGTCTTTGATTGCTGCCATGCTTTAGAAAGGAGGCACCAAACCAGTGTCAGTGTTTCTGAAAATATTTAAAAGTGTGCTTGGGGAAAGCTGCCATAAGACATACGAACCATGCTCACATTGGGAGGATTCGGCTTTTAAAGAAGTTTTTATTCTTCCAATTCTTGTTACATTTTCAGTGTTGACCTCAGCTTAATTCTAGCTTGCCTTAGATCTGTTGTCAGAAGACAGTTGTGTTCTAGTGCAGATACTCAGCTATCAGGTATTCTGTGTTAGTATCAAATCTGTAATCAGTAGTTTATAATTAGCACTTGTAACCTTAGTTTGTTGCATAGACTCAAAAGAGTTTTTCCAAATGTGAAAAGTATGTCTGCGGAGTTCTGAAGAAATAGTGGCTTTTGGGAATGTCTTATACAGATTCTGTCCAGCTGTTCAACTCTCAAACAAGAAATTTGCCTTTTTTTTTTTTTTTTGTTTGTGAGACTGTGCCTGTATCCTCCCACCTGAGCACACACAGGGTACTGCAAACCCCAGCTCATGTACTGCACAGAACACAAAAGCCTCTTTTTTTCCCTTTAAATTATGTCAGAATATTTTTTAGGAAATCTGCTGACTTTGATTCTTTTGAAGGATGATTTTATTTATATTTCCAAGTTGGTGTAGACATTGGTGTTTTGATTTAAAAAAAAACAAAACCCCAAGCAACACCCCCAGCCCTGTAATTTTGAAAATCAGTGCAAGGCCAGGCTGGATGAGGCTTTGAGCAACCTGTGTTGTTGAGAGCGGTGAGGAGAAGGGGTCAGCCTTGGGTCAGGCCCAGAGTGTCGAGCACAAAAAACTCCAGAGTCAGCAGCTGTGGCATTAGAGTCCTGCTAATACACTGCCTCCATGGCCTTTCATTTTTGTCTCAATGAGGCAGCAATGACAGCAAACAGGCATGAAGTGGTAAGCTGTGACCCTCTGCCTCCTGATTTCTTTGGTGAGCTGTTGGGATAGCAGGAACTGTTGACTACTGTTTGTAACGGAAAATGAGAATTTTTCACTTAGGGCAAGAGTGAGGAAGAGGCAGCCACGTGGCTGAATAGGTGGTGTGAGCTGGCACAGTTAGTTTTTTTAAAAAATAATATGAGAAATTGGTGATTAAGCAGCTGTCCTGGAGGGGTGGAGGTTCTGATCGTTGTGCCACTTGTCCACTCTTTGCTTTTCCAATTTTTTTCACTGGGTGTAAAAACAGGAGGTGATGTTGTGGGCTTTGTGTTCGATTCAAGTCAGCAATAGTTAGTGCAGTGGGACACAGGCCTTTCCCCTGGGCTCATGGCACTGCCTGCTCAGGGAGATGTAGCTGGTGGCAAAAGGAGGTTTTGGGTTTTTTTTTCCCCTGATCAAATAGTTTTCTGTGAGAACAAATGGCAAATGACTTTATGCTGGGAAAAGGGATGTGTCAGTGCAGGAGAGTGACTGGGCACAGGGTCAGCTCCTGGAGGGGCCCTTCTCTGTGTATCGTGGTGGGGAAACTGGTGCAGGAACCTTGTTTATTGCCTTGCTGCCTAAAATGAGCCACTGCAGCATTTTTAACCATATGGGATACACACAGTAGCCACAATAACAACTTAATCCAGGCAGCTTTCACTTATCATCCTCTCCTTTCTCCTGTCTCTCCCAACAGGAGTTGGTGGGTGCTCTCATTGGTGTACCTAGAACAGTGTGTTAGAAGTTCAGTATAGCTACGTTCCACCACCTTTTGTCTAAAATCCACTTTTTCTCTCTCCACTCTCCCTGTCTGTATTGTAAGGTTTGCTTTCTAACTGGGAATTTTATTAATCAGTAAGAGGGAATTATTCTTAAAAGTATGCTGGAGCAGAACTCTTCTTCAAGGAATCTGATTTGAATGTTAGAGGATAGAGAAATGCTCAATGTTTTCTAGAGTTTAAAAAACTGAAAATGGGCTATTTATGGTTTCTCTTTTCCCTCCCAAAACAGAAAAGAGAATTAAATATACTCATCCAAAGCCAGGCTGCAATATTCATTATTTTCATGGGTTGGGTTTTTTTCCCATTTTACAGCCAACTTGTTTAGTCAGCTCTAATTTTGCATTTGCCATGTCACAGGGTGCCTGGCCTCTTCCCTCCAAACTAAGTCTGTCTGAAGGGTGGTTGTGCAGACTATGAGATGAATGATCAGAAGATTCAATTTAGTTCCGACTGTGGGCACACTTCAAAGTAATCATGGTTTTACAGTAGAAGTTCTGTCAACTTTCCAGATTTTCTGAAGAGATTAAACTTGGAGGCCTTTGATCAGCACAAAAATATGGCAGACTCTTAAAGTAGAAGGGCCTGGGTTGGGTTGAATTCACCGAAATGACATTTAATGAAATTGCTGCCATAATGTGATGTTTAATAGTTGGTCTTTATGTTGTTCCTTATGTAGGAAATACGTGTTATGTAGGAAATTCTCTTACATGAATAATGCTCTATGCTATGAGGAAGTGCCCCAGAAAAAGAAGTTTAGATTTTTTATGCTTCAAGTTTACCAAATTGTTTTGGGGAGAGTTTGGCACCTCTTCAAGGGCATGTGCTTCCTCTTTTCCCTCTGCTTGAACGTCGAATATAATTTGAGACTGAAAAATACTTTTTCATTATATTATAGTAGATTTTTTTCTCTATTTCACCTATTGGAGAATGAATTCTGTAGAACTGTAATAGCCATTGTAAAATCATAGCATGGTTCTTTGCTCTCAGCAGATCCAGTCAGGTCTGCCTGCATGCTCTACTTAAGGGGAAAATTTAAACTGGAATTTTTTGCTCTCATTTTTTGCTCTCTTTTTGGGTTGTTTTGAGCACAGAAGTCTTTTATTTTTATTTTTTATTTAATATATAATGAAGTAATGATGTTCTACATCCCTACAGTGCTGTGTGATGTGTCCCTCTCCCTGTGACACCAGCGGATTCCTGACAGGGAGATGTTCCACTCCACTGCTGTTCTTGAGAACAGGCTAGTTAGATATCAGTACACTTTAATGTCCCTCTTTATTGTCTTATTAAGTATTGTCCTCTCACTGTTCATGTCTACTTTGGTGTTTACTGATGTGACCCTATGAAACTATTACATTATTACAAAACTGAAGTGGCTTATTCCATGCTGAGCTGAAAATAGGGACTCGATTACTCTGATAGAGATACTGTCTTTGCTGCCCACTTATATGACTCTTGCTTGGCTTATTTAAATTTATAAATTGCATTATTATAAGTGCAAAGCTACTTTTCATCCCTAAGTTTGGAGTGGAATAGAATAACTCTGGTTATTCTGGTTTCTGTGCAGTTCGCAGTTATCTGAAAGGTGCCATGAAATTGGCTCCCCCTTGGATGTCTATTGCTCCTGACCAGCTATCAGAAGCCCTGAAATCAGAAGCTGGGCTGGGACTGCAGGAGGGCTTTGGGATGGCAGAGGAAGTGATCTGACTGCAGTCTGCTTCCCATGGCTTGGAGAGTGTGTTTTCCACTTGTGCGCGCTGCAAAGCGCTGCTCGCAGTAACTGCGTACGGTACCCTTAGTGCCCCTGAGAACTGTGGCGGGGATGATGCGAAAACCACGCAACTCAAAAAGCTGCTGTTGAGCAGTTTTAAGTAAGGAATGTGTATGTTACGAAGTGAGATCACATTGTGGGCACTGAAAAGCACTGCCTGTGTGCCGTGGTGAACCCCGAGCGCGTTGCCAGTGGGATGGGCAGCCGCCGGTGGCTCTCTGGGGCGTAGCCACACTCTGGCACTCGCTGCCCTCCCGCCTCTGCCTTGCTCTCCCTGCGCCTGCTTAGACCTTCCCTTCATGAAGCTCTTCCCCTCTGTGCTGTGAAAGTATTAACAGCTTAAATAAGTGGGGAGCGGAGGGACAGGCTGCTGTTGAATCCTATTAAGTGCTGTGCTGGAGGAACTGAGGTGCTGTTGGTCAGCTCAGTGTTCTTCTTCCCTGGCCAGGAAGAAATAGTCAAAATTCCAGAAAGAATCATAGCCAGATGTTTGTCATTGCTTTGGTTTGACGCTCCTAAATATGGCAAATAAGCTGCCTTAGGACTTATTTTTGTCTGACCTCAGAAGAGAAAGTTAGTAATTCACTATTTTAAATTTGAAGTTAATATAGGGTTTAAAAAGAAGGTAACTGAAACTTTGCAATTTGTGTACTTTTTGATTCGACTGTATATTTTTTAGACCTGTTATTTTGTGTGTGGAGGCTCAACTTTTTTGATGCTATGTAGGAATGTGGTATTGGGTGGGGAAAGGTGAAACTGCAGCCATTTTATTGACAGACATTTGTGGGGGTGTGTGTTTTGTTCATTTGTGGTTGTATTTTTTTTTTTTTTTAGGGAAAATGTGAACTTAAATTGTGTAATAAACCCATTTTATTATTTTACAATTCTCTTGACACTAGGTGTCCCATTATGTGTAAAGAAAATTGAATTATGCTGCAGCAAAGGAGAAACAATCTGAATATTCCTGTATGAAAAGTTGATTGTGTGCACGTGTTGTAACTTAAGACACAGAAACCATTTAGGAAAATGGTCAGGTGTTATCACAG